CTGCCTGTTAGTGAATAAGAAAGAAACCCTTATTTTCACCAATTCTCTGTGTCCCTGTTTCTTAAACAAATAACCTAGAGCAGCTTTTCCATTCATCTCTTCAGAATGTGTCTGAGAGTCTGTAACGCCAGTATGCTATTGGGAGCTGTAAGACAGAAACAGCATCTCAAGGCCCATGGCAAATTGCTCACCTGTCGGTCTCTCACGTGTACATCAAGCCAGGCAGTGTGCCCTGACCCTGCTAGGGAACAGTACCCAGTCAGTCCCTATAGCATGGCAAGACAAGCAGAGTATACCATGTTTGGAAGAAGGTAGTATGTTAAGTGATGACAGCGGTTCCTCCCACACTCTTGGAGGAGCACAAAGGCTTCTCGCTGAAATGAACACACCTAAATAGCTCTCTGTGGGTGAAAGGTCAAGATACTCCCCCTCATTTGTGTGTGGGGGAGAGAGTAAACTCAGGGCTTCATGTACTTATATTGTACCACTGTCCCTTATACCCAGTCCATGACTCTTGGTCTAACTGGGGGAAGGGGGAATGAAAATGAGGTGTGCTGTAATTAAAGGGAACTACTAGGATCGCTCTGTAGACTGTAAAGCCCACCACAGCCACTTTTCAGAGTTGCAAGTGTCATTTGGGTATAGGAGGTGAATTCTAGTCCACTGAAATGATTACAGCAGTGCCAAGAAGCAGTCCTTATAGTATTGACAAAGTACTTTAACGTAGCTGATAGCCCGACACAAACACACTGGTATGATAAAGTAGATATTCAGCTTAGAAGGCTGTTAAGTAATAAACCACATTGAAACAACTGGTAAGCTGCCTGGAAAATAACATTTTTTTTTTTATTCCAGGTTGTTTTAGTTAGGAGATAGTAACCAGCAGGTTAGAAAACAGAGAGTCAATGCTTTCTGTGAACTGAAACTCAAGGTAGCACTAATGAGTCAGGGACATAGTTCATAAGTCATTGGAGGACCCAGTGTGTTAAATGTTTCATTTCCTGCTGAATATGTTGATCATGTGAACTTGTCACCTTTGTGGTCCTCCATGCTTACAAGCACTCTTCATTTGGATTAATTTTCCCCTTTGTCACCCTCTGGAAAGTCAAAACCTTTGAATGTCAGCCTGTGATTTCCTTTTTTGCACTGTGCAATGACATAGCTATCCTACTCCCTATCTGGCTGTCATTCAAGGAGAGGGAAGGTCACAGAGCCTCATCCAGAAGAGGGTTTCATGCCTGATGGAAAGTTGTAGTCAATCCAAATATAGTGTGGAAGCCACATTAGCCAGATGATCCATAGTGTGTGCGTGCGTGTGTGCGTGCGTGCGTGAGTGTGTGTGTGTGTGTGTGCTCGTGCATGCGTGCGTGCATGCGTGTGATTCAGCCTGATATCATCAGGCCTTTATTTGACAAATCCTTAACTTCCCTTTTCCTAATCACCAAACACCTTCTTAATTATGGATGGTTTGGCTGCTTCTGTGGTTTTCTGCAGGGAGAGAACTGACTGGTCATGCTGACTTCATACTGCATCCAGGACATTACTTACCAAATTAACATTCTGGTTTTATGTATCATTGGAGGTCTTTAAATATGAGCTTGCTCCTAAGAAACCGTTTCTGCTGGGATTTCTGAGACAAAGTGAAGTGTAGGCATGGTGCTGGCAGGTTTGCCAGACTCTCTAGGTATATGACAGTGGTTGACAGTAAGGGTTCTGGAGTCAAGATAGACAGTCCTAGGATCAAGTGTGACCCTGACCTTTCTATGCCCTGGTTTTTCATCTGTGATGGTGTTACCTTCTGTAGGATTGTGAGATCGAATAAGAAAGTATACTCTAGGTCAGAGATTCTGAGCCTCAGTACTATTAGCATTTGAAACTAGATAATGCTGTATTTGAAGATGGTTAATTGGGGAGGGGGGTCTTGCTATGTATTGTATTCTTTTCAACCACATCCCTGACCCACGCCTCCACTCACCCTCTACACTTGGATGATCTACTGATATGGCTGTATAGAACAGGGCCTGCAGAAAAGATTATGTTGGGTTTTATAATAATGCTGATAAAGGTACCTACTGTAAATGCATGTTTCCTGTCTGGCCCACCTGGTTCCAAGTAACTGACTCTGAGGCTCGGCTGATTGCTCAGGCTAGTTACTCTTACACTTCAATTAACTCATATTTCTATCTGTAGATAGATATTTCTCACTATATTTTGCCACGTGGCTCATGGCTTTTTAACCTCATTGTTTACATGTCCTGCCTGCTTGGAGGCTGGCTTTCGTCTCCTCTGACTCTGCCCTTCTCCTTCCCATCATCCTTAGTTTGGTTGCTCTATCCATACTTCCTGCCTGGCTACTGGCCAATCAGTGTTTTATTAAACCAATTTGAGTAACAGATCTTTACAGTGTACAAGAAGATTATTCCTCAGCAAGGTAAAGAAGGATAGATTCTTGATGCCGTCCTGAGACTTCTGGGAAGGCATTATGGTCCTTATTTATTTGTTTGTTTGTTCTGTTCCTATATCTTAGCCAAGATAAACTCTATATAGAGACTCTAATAATTTTTTTTAAAACCTACCTTTGTAAAAAAGAAAAATGAAAGAAAGATAACAAATCTTTAAATTTGCAAATGAAAAAATGGTGTCCAAGCTTGTAAAGTGGGTACTCCTGTGATGTTAATGTTGGGGTTAAGTCATTAAAGTCAAACATTGGGGCATTTCCTTCCACAACATACATTACTACATTCAGCATAAGCAAATATGCATAACCTATGAACTTTTGTAATAAACATTAACAAGTAAATTGATTTAAATTATTTTGAGCAGTCAGTCTAAGTGTGAAATGATTTCTTTAAAACTGGCTGTGTCCGGTGTGGTGGTGCACGCCTCTAATCCCAGCACACAGGAGGCAGAGGCGGGTGGATTTCTGTGTTTGAGATCATCCTAGTCTACATAGTAGGTTCTAGGACAGCCAGGACTACATGGAGATTTTGTCCTTAAAAAAAGAGAAAAATAGAGAAACTGGCTTTAGTCAAAAATAAAATAACATATTCTCATAAGTGACTATAAAAGAGTAAAAAGTATTTGGGAGTTGTTCATATTTAATAGTTTAAATATTTAAATCCTTTTAAATTGGCAAAGATTTGAAGTGGGGGCACCAGCTCTTTTTTATATTTTTGTAGGACAATGGATGGGTCCAACCTTGTGTAACAAATATGCTTTAAGATTTGTCATGCCTTTTAGGCTCCCAGAATAACATTTGGAATAATCTAAAATGTCTACATGTACTTATGGTCGAAGAAGTACACTATCACAATAATATTATAATAAAAATCCAGTTAAATGCATAGTATTAGGAATGGAGTTAATTATAGCAAAGCAACATAATTTGTAGCCCTTAACAATATTTACTGTTTCTGGTGACACAAACATTTTTAGTGTGAAGGGATAAGAAAGCAGGTTTTCAGGCTGCATGTGCAGTATAAATTCAAATCTGACAAAGACCAGGAGAAAATATTCCTAGTATTAGCAACATTTGTTCCTGAGAAAGTGGTTTATGAATAATTTATGAAAGTCTCTCAAAGCTATATAATTAAATTGATCATTTCATGGCAAACTTAGATGATTTTTTGCTTTTCATGTTCTCTTAGCTAATTTTTAGGTCATAAACATTGCTTTGCCTTGGAAATAAAGATAAAAGGGTTAAGTTTTGAGTAAGAATAAGCAAAGCAATTGCCAGGGCCATAAAGTATGGCTTTATATTACAAAAACTCCTTAATTAAATGTAATCAATGTTAGGGGTGAATTCCTTGCTGTATAATTAGTGGAATTTTTTAACCATCCTGGTACTCTTTATGATCATTAATTAAGAAAAAATATTTCCTTTATTGTTGAGATTATAATGTAGTTATACCATTCCCCCCTTCATTTTCCTTCCTCCAAACGTCCAGGATTCTCCTCTTTGCTCTTTCAAATTCATGGCCTCTTTTTTCATTAACTGTTATTAACGTGCATGTGTGTGTGCACACATGTATGCATGTGCACATGCACATACATACTCCTAAATATACAAATACAACGTGCTCAGTCTGTATAACGTTACTTGTATATATATGTTTTTGACCACTTGAAAAGGGATAACCAGGTAGTGTCCTTGGGAAGACTGTCCCTCTCTCTGAATTCTTTAGTTGTCTGTGATTCTTTGTGTAGCATTGAGGTGTCCTGGGCTTTTCCCATATGTCTATCAGTGTCATCCTTGTTCACCCCATGTTTAAGCAGTCATATTGGTAAGACTATGGGTGTAGCTTCTGACATTGTAAGGAGACACAATCTCGCAGCAAACTCCCTGGTCCTCTGGCTTTTACAATCTTCCCACAAGGTTCCCTGCGCCTTAGGTACGGGAGTGTTTTGTAGATGTATCAGTTGCGACTGGGCTCCACAACACTGCATTTTCGTTGGTTGTGGTTATCTGTAATTGTCTCTGTTTGCTACAAAGAGAAGTTTCTTTGATGCGGGGTGAAGACTAAGCTTATTCTGTGGGCATAGGACAAATAGTTAGAATGGAGTTATGGTTTATGCTGGCTTTGTAAAGTGGTGGTTGTAGATTTTCCTCCGAGATCCATGACCTTTGGCTAGGTTTCCATTACCAGGCATGATCTCCTTCTTTTTGATAGGTCTTAAATCCAATTAGAGAGCTCTTGGATACTGCCAATGTATGCATATCACCACTTCACTCTTAGGGTTATTGTGCCTTGCTAGTAGTTGTTATGGTTCATAGGTGTCATATCTAGGAAAGACTGTTGATTGTTTCTCTCCTTTGGAAGCTCGCATGGCGCCTTCTGGCGCCATGGATCTAGTCCTCAGAGAAGAGGCTTTCAAATCAATACCAGCTCAGGGGCCTCTGGATCCCGTGTCTGAAGTTCACTGATGATTAACTTATAAAGGTATTTTATTGCATGTAGTCGATGAACAAATGTTTAAAATGTCCCCTCTTATATTTGCAGTTTGTGCAGAAGCTTATAATCCTGATGAAGAAGAAGATGATGCAGAGTCCAGGGTATGTAGTTTATTGAATTAGGTAATGTTAAATGCATTATATAAGGAAATTAACAGTGGGCATACAGACTTTCAGGACAGTGAAATTATGTTTCTTTTCCTCATCTTGACAGTCTGCTTCTATTTCAAATGCAATAGAATTATGCCCTGCCCCACCCTCAAAGCACTTTTGGATGGAATGAGATAGGAACATAAGTGCTCACTGGAGTTATGGTGCTGTTCTTTCATTAAAGGCATCCTATGATGAAAGATGTTTTGGGCTATTTATTTTTCTTATGGCCATAGTTATTTATAAAAAAAAAAGTATTCCTACTATAGACAGATACTGGTGATGACCTTCTGCTCCTGTCAGTCATCAACAGAAAGTTCCTCAGAAGCAGACAAACCTCAGCAGAATCACGAGGAAGGTGCCAGCACAACATGCACCATGCTTTGCACAGACTGATTCTTGGAGGCCCTGACGATTCTGTAGAGTTGGCTTTGTGTGCTTTGATACAGCTTTTAAGCTGAGTCCTTAGTGTACTTCTCCCATTAGCGTGCCAGTAAGAGGTAATTAAATAAGACATTACTGTGCCTAAACATGAAGGAAGGTAATAACTTTTCTCTCACCCTCCCTTCTGTGTTTTCCTCCCTCCCTCGCTCCCCTCCTTCCTTTCTTTTTACATACTTTAAGAAAGTCTCTTTTGCATCTTCAACCTTAAGAAGGGGTTTTTAAAAACCTATTTATAGCTCTGAAAAATGCAGAAAAGCAGACAGCAGGTCCAGAGTTTTTAGGCTGTTAAGCTCTTGAAGTATATATAAGCCCTCAGTATACACACGGATACATATGCTGTCATATTCTTCTGTTGCTAATCTTGAACATGCTGTTATTTTGCTGTATATAGTCTACAAAACTACATTGCCTATCATGTGTTTCATACATACATCTAGCAGAAACTAATGGATGACAGTTGAGGAATGCATATATTCCTATGTCTGTCGTTAACTATATATGGTAAAATTTAGTAATCAAGATAATTTGAGGTCGTTTAAAAAAACTAGTTTTAAAGCTCTACAACTAAGTCAGGTGATGGTGGTGGGCACCTTTAATCATAGCACTTGGGAAACAGAGACAGGAGGTTCTCTGTGAGCTGAAAACCAGCCTGGTCTACAGAGTGAGCTCCAGGACAGCCAAGGCTATGCAAAGAAACCCTGTCTCGAAAAACCAATAACCAAAAAAAAAAAAAAAAAAAAAAAAAAACAATTAAAACATAGTTTGAAAAGCAACATTCAGTATCTCATTGACTACTCAGACCTTGGGAAGAATTTTAGATGTCATTGAATCTGAGAGTTAGTTCAGTAAAATGTTTTGCCTAGTTCATTCCCATTCTCATTGATATCCACTTAGCAGCCAATCAAATGGAATTAAACATTAAAAAAATGCCAGTGAGAGCTTATTAGATACATGTTTGGATGTATTACCAATTCCAGAAAGAGTTCAGAGGCCACTCGTAGACAGGGTAGGGTCATGACCACTTTAGGATGGTACATGCGTGCATGCGTGTGTCATGTCAGATATCCTGCATATCAGATATTACATTATTATTCATAGCAGTATTAAAATTGCTGTTATGAAGTAACAGTGAAAATAATTTTATGGTTGGGGATCACCACTACACGAGGAACGGTCACAGCATAATCTAGAGTCAGTTTTGGAAGAGGGACCTCAGCTGAGAAAATGCCCCCACTAGGTTGCTCTTTGGGCAAGCCTGTGGTACATTTTCTTGATCATTGATTCATATGGGAAGGTCCAGTTCACTGTAGGCAGTGCCACACCTGGCAGCTGGTGCTCCTGGGTTCTATAAGAAAACAGGCTGAGCAAGTCAAGGGCAGCAAGCCAGTGAGCAACACTGCTCCATGGCTTCTGCATCAGCTCCTGCCTCCAGGTTCCTACTGTTTGTGTTCCTGTCCTGAACAAGCTGATGATGGACTACAGCTGAAATATGAATAAACCCTTTCCTCCCCAAATGGTTTTTGATAAGATACTGGGATCTGTGGGTTAGGGACTCACTCTAAGACTTGTCCTCTCTAATACTTTCAGTTCCTATGTAATGTAATAATTACATAGTAATGGTTATGATAAAGGGCTTTAGGAGTCTGATTAGGTTGAAATGATTTTCTCTAGATGGTGTACTAAAAATTAGACTTTGCCTTTGGCCTTAAAACTGTAAGGTAAACTGTGCTACAGTTCCTAGGAATGTTTATTACAGATGTCAAAATTAGTTCTAGATGGATATTGAAAAACACCTGTGAGGGCTGGAGAAATAGCTCAGCAGTTAAGAGCACTGGCTGCTCTTCCACAGGTCCTGAGTTCAATTCTCAGCAACCACATGGTGGCTCACAACCACTTGTAATGAGGTCTGGTGCCCTCTTTTGGCATGCAGGTATACATGCAGATGGAACACTGTCCACATAATAAATAAATAAATAAATAAATAAATAAATATAAATAAATCTTAAAGAAGAAAGACAGACAGAAAGAAGCCAAAAACACCTGTGAAGAAAATACATACTGATTTTGGTAGAGCAATATTTCATCTTATCTCTGGAATTGTTTATAATATTGGAATCTATAAGCTCACAATAAATATAGGTATTTATCTTTATATGAATTCAGAGAAAATCAGAATACTTAAGACTCATTTTGGAAACTAATCTGGGTTTTAGCTGCAATACCAATCATGAATGAGAATTTAAGAATTGTATACCTCTAGCAGGTGACTTGAGAGGGAAGAGTCATTTACTTCTTCACTCTGTTCTACAGAATTGCTCTGAAGCCAGCTGCTAGCCCCAGCAACTTCCTTAGAGGCTAGGGGCAGGTGCAAACAAGTGAATGAATGAGTAGTTACAAAATACAGTGTCAAAGTGCAGTGACACATTGTATAGAAATTAAAAAGCTTGTCTGCTTGTTTGGAGTGAGTGGAGGTCTCTTGAGGTAAGACATGAGCAAGACAAGAGTCTGAGTTCATTGTTGCATCTGAGCTTGAACAGCCACCAGGAAGGGGGAGTGAGGTTCTGACTGACATACACTCAGCTCAGTGTGGGGTCTGCTGAGGTTTGTAACTAGAGAATGGAGTGCTCTTATTGGATGTTTGATCCATCTCCTTTATGTAGACCAGGAGAATGGAGTGAACAGCGGGAGTTGTTCTATAACAGAATATCAAGAACATGTCTAAGCAAACCATGTTAGTTGCTTTTCTGATTCTTTTCCTTGAAAGGCAGTAGAAGTTCAGAGCAGGAGTCAGCAGATGCTTTATGTGGATTATTTTTGTTTTAACTGAAAACTCACTATTTCTGAACATGAATATTTAGTATTTTGGAGTCGGAAGTTCTCTTAAAGCTACTCAACCCTGCTGCTGTGGCTCAAAATCAGCAGAGGCAGTGCACTGATAAAAGCATGTCTGTGTTCTGAGGACAAGTTCATCTCATTTCCATGTGTCCGAAAGTGCGTGTGCGTGTATGTGCATGTGCGCATGGTTGCAGGGGTGGAAAGGGAGAATGAAGCATTAATTTAATTCACCATAATTAATAAAAGCTAGGAGTCGGATGTCACTGTAAAAACCTGGAAGATCAGAGAACTGGGAGCAGCTGCCTGTTGTTTCCTGCCTCTCTCCTTTTCCTCTGTCCAAAAGGACCGAGATCCTCTCTCCACCCCACCTTATCACTTCCTGTCTTTCTATCTACAGTCCTCGAAACCTCTATGGTTAACTAGTGGCTAGCTTTGCCCTCTAACTCCAAGCAAGATTTGTCAGAACACAAACAAAATATCATACAACATGAGGGGGAGACAGAGAGTACACAAAGGTAAAGCCATTGTTAGCTCAGAGACGGTTGTCTGCAGATGTGCTTGCAGGTGTAGTTTACTGTTCTGGGGTGTGAGTATGTTCTTATAATCAGCTTATCAGGGATGAAGCCCAGCTCTGCAACTCATGGACTGTGAGATCATGGAGAAGTCAATTGAGGAAGTTTTTTTTTGTTGTTGTTTTTTTTTGTTTTTGTTTTTGTTTTTTGTTTTTTCTCACCTCTAAATTTCCACATATTTCCAGGGGTCTGTTACTAGGTTAAAGAGGATTGGTATTTATGGGGCCCTTAAAATACTACCTAGCACTGGGTGGTGGCAGCACAGGCCTTTAATACTGGCACTTGGGAACCAGAAGCAGGTGGATCTCTGTAACTTCAAGACCAGCCTGGTCTACAAAGTGAGGTTCAGGATAGCCAGGGCTACACAGTGAAACCCTGTCACAAAAGACCTCAATAAATAAATAAATAAATAAATAAATAAATAAATAAATACTACCTGGCATACATCAGATGCCACATAAATGCTGTGTAAAAGGATCTTTGCCCTGAAATGAGAAGTTTTAGTAAAAATTAAAAGAACCTATGGGCTAGCAGAAGCTCACACTTTGGGAGCAGTGTTGAAGCTGAAGTGTTCCAGAGACAAACCTAGTGTGTAGAATGATGCCCAGCCTAATGGGAAGACGAGCCTGTAGAAGCAGGCAGCATCCTCCCCACTCCCCCCACCCCGTGGCCACCCTGCAGGCACACCCTTACTGTTGCTTTCAGAGAGACCTGTAGCATTCAGCTTCATGTCTTGGATTTCAAGTTTCTCCTTTCTAGTGGTGGACTCTTTTTAGTGTGATCTGAGGTTTGAAGGTTTCTGTGTAGCACTGGTTGGTAGCATTGTATTTACCTGTTACTTTAGGGTCTAGGTTCAGGTGAGCATGGGTCACAAAGTAAGCAGGTTTCATGTATTTTACCCTTATACAGTGACTTCCCACTGTAAAAAAAAAAAAAATGCCTGGCTGAAATAAAGTAAGGGGATCAGGTTTGTTCTGGAGTCAGTTTCTGGGGAGTTTTAGTCCATCATGTGGGGGGAAAGTGGCTGTGACAATGGCAGGAATGTCACAGGGCACCATCCAGGAAGAGAGTTCGGATCTGGAACTACAAGCAGCTAAAAGAAATGCCTGCACATAGCCATCTGCTTATGCCAGCCAGGCCTCATGTGCTAAAGGTTCTATGCCTTCAAAGTAACCATATAAACATAGAGACTCCATCTATGGGGACATTTAGTCCCAAGGCACACAATTTATTGACAAACTGCCGAGACTTGTTCACTAGCCGACAGTCTTTCCTGTTACCTATAACTCATGGAAGGTATGATACCCAACCATAATTATGAGTGCCAGTTCCTTCAGGCTGTGTTTTATTGATTGTTAGCTATTTCTTCTGCTGAGTTAAATGTCCCTGTGCATTTAATGTTTCTGTGGGCACAGACTTACTGCTATTCGATTCTGGCTGCTTTGATGGGATAGGTGGGGCATTTGCTTATACAATTTTGTGTGTGTGTGTGTGTGTGTGTGTGTGAGAGAGAGAGAGAGAGAGAGAGAGAGAGAGAGAGAGAGAGAGAGAGAGAGAGAGAGGGTTTCTCTGTGTAGTTCTAGCTGCACTGTAGACTAGGCTGGTCTCTAACTCAGAGATTCGCCTACCTTTGCCTCCCAAGTACTGGGTTTAAAGGTGTGTGTGCCATGACGCAGCTACAGTTATTCCTTGAATTAACATTGGAGTAGGAGAAAGTAGTATGTTGGTGTTCAGGAATCTACTCCATGGCTGCTTCTAGAAATGTCTTTTAGCTCTTACTTTATGAACTACCAATGTTCTCAATAAAAGGAGCCTTCTGGTATCAGGGATAAAGTTTGGTGATGGAGCTTTTACCTAACATGAGCAACATGGGTTCAATCCCCATGTCCTCAAAAAGAACCCAGCCTCTCTGGTCCATTGAATCTAATGTTAGTCAAAAGGCCTCAGAAGCTGGCTGGCTGCTCTCCGAGAGGACCCTCTGATTGCTCTGCTGTCCTGGAGGAAATGTTCAGTGATGTTATAGAACACCAGCTTCTCTTATCTTTATCCTAAAATGAGTGTGTCAGTATTTCTTGGATTCATTTCCCCTGAACACACATTCTCTTGGGGTCAGTGCATGGTTGCTTGGTCCCTTTTTGTAAATTCCTTACATGCTTCCTCACCTGCAATTTTCCTAAAGCCTTATTTAATTTTGATGTAGTATACATTTAAGAATTTCCTTGTTTCTGCAGACATTATTAAGTTTTAAAGGATAGAGCTTATCCAGAAGAGTTTAAGTTCAGTAGCAATGGGATGAAGGCAGCATCTAACTTTCCAGTGTAACCTTATAACACTTTGTCCTTTAGTAAATGTTTATACAGCCTGGGATGTTTGCTGTCTTTCTTGTTGCTCATGCATCTTCTCATAATGGGCTTGTTCATCTTGGGGAGAACTCGCCTTCCAATCACTTCTGAGCAGAATGTTGGTGAGTGTGCTCTGTAGCTCAAGGGACTGCTCGTGGGCTAATCCTTGTTAGCCATCCAGAGTGCATGCCCTGCCACCTGTGAGTGGACTTGAACATTGCAGTGTTCTCTTTAGCACTTCTTTTTATTTTCATTGGACTTTTACCTGGTATTAACTGTTGTGTTTGTTTTCTTGATTTTGGTGTCTTTTCAGATAATACATCCCAAAACTGACGATCAAAGAAACAGATTGCAAGAGGCTTGCAAAGACATCCTGCTATTTAAGAACCTGGATCCAGTAAGATAAACCATAATAACAGAAGTGGGTTAAGACCTGGGCAAGGACATGAATTTCTCCCTTTCCAAGCTCAGATGACTCTGGGATCATGATGGAGGCAGATCTGGTCTTAGATCTGCGGTTAATGGATATACTGTGTTAGAATGCCAAGGGGAAGTAATGTCATATTCTCAAACCCAGCCCTGGGGTAGTACAGCAGAGGTCCCTGGAGGAGGTCTTCCCTGCTGCTCTTAACAGCCAGTAAGAGGAGTCGTATTTGAATGTATTTAAGCTCTACATTGTTGATATTTTAAATATAGCATTTTACTTGGATTAAGGCAAGGGAATGTTTGAATCTTCGAAAGAATTTTGACATCTCTAGTCTCCACAGAGGGTGCTCCTAGCATACATACCACTTGCTACTGCATGAGTGTTCAGACTTAGCTTCACACTGTTGGCTAAGCGCTCTGCTTTGTCATTACAGGTCATGTCTTTCTTATCTAGTGATTTAGGAAAGAACTTCTGCTTTGTTCCAAACATGAAAACCAACTTTTATAGCTTACTTCAGCCTTAAGTTTTTCAAACTCCACCTCTTCTAGTTTTCAGATTGGTTTGAGAACAAGCATTAAATCCTACTGGTTTTTAGATAAGGATTTTTGTTTTGCTTTTGTTTGAACATTTTTTTTTTAAACATTAAGGTACTATATCATACCATTTTATATTAGGTCATGTTTATACCCTGAAATATTAAAAAAAAAAAAAAACTCCATTACTTTCTTGTATAATCTTATATCATGCTCTCCAGGAACATGAATTATATTTGGACTTTGGAGCACACAGTAAAAATGTGTATTTCATCACTGAGTTCAGGTTATTGTTTTGAGACATGGTTTCTTTCTGTAGCCTTGGCTATTCTAGAACTAGCTCTGTAGACTAGGCTGGCTTTGAACTCATAGAGATTCTTCTGCCTCTGCCTCCTGAGTGTTGGGATTAAAGGTGTGCATCACCCCTGCCTGGCTTTGTCTTTGACATTTCTGATTAACCAAACAAAGATCTACACATTGCTTCATTTATTCATTATTTAAGGGTAGAACATCCATCTTTTACATTTAGCTCTGTAAGTAGCATATCCCCCACCCCCATTGTCTTCTGTGTGCATCAGTGTCTCAAAAAGAAAGGGTGGCCCAAAACTGAACGTTGTGAATTACCATTGTTTTTTAAATTTTTCTAGCTTATGCATACTTGGTAACAATATTTTTAATAGATTTGGTAATTTTAATAAAGTAATGTATTTAAAGACTGTCTAGGGCTTCAGGGAAATGGCTCAGTGAATTAAATGCCTAACATGCAAACATGAGGACCTGAGTTCAGGTCCCTAACACCCCTGTAAAAACCAGATTCAGCAGCATATGCCTGGAACCGAGCACTGAGGGAAGGGAGTGGTGTGTGTGGAGACATACAGATTCCAGGGACTTGCTGACAGGCCTGTTGAGCCAAACGATTCACTCCAGATTTAATGAGAGACCCTGTTTCAAAAAATAAGGTGGAGAATGACGAGGAAGACACCAACCTCACATGAGTATGATATGGGCAAGTACATCCCCACAATACATGCATACAGCACACACATGCATACTCACTCACACATACAGAATAAGTAAACAAGTCTCTAATCTTATTGAAACTTGTAGTGACCTTTGATTGCTTTCAGAGAGGTGTGTGTTTTCCAGATGTGTAGCCACCCCATGCTCATGCAAACATCCTGAATTAAATTCAGTGGGTCACTTAAAGAAGAAAAAGAAATAGGAGGGGACTTGTTGGAAAGGTGCTCAGAGGGAGGGGAGTAAAAGAGGGTGATGGGAGGGATGGGCAACATTCATTATATACATGTATAAAATTGTCAAAGAATGAAAGTCACTTAACCCATTGAAAGTTAGTAGGAACAAACAGATGTAGCTAAAAAAGTTACAGTGACTCATGACTGCAGTTGTCCCCTTCTAGTGTGGATTCATCTATTCAGAGTGAGTCTGTTTACACACTCAGTCCATTAACCATGTTTGCTGCATGCAATACTGAGCTATTTATATATATATAGGGGTGGTTTCCCATTAAGGATTCTCTAGTTTTTACTAGGTCTTTACGTGGGAGAATTTTAGAAGTCACTATGAACAGTGCCTCTCAAGCTTTTAATACAACTGTGTATCACTAAGGGATGTCAGCAAATGTGGAGGTCCTGACCCAGTAGAACTGAGTAGAGTCCAGGAGCCTGCACTCCTCACAGATACCCTCTCTCTTCTTTCCTTTTTTCTCCTTTCCCCATTCCTACCCCCTTCCCTTCTTTATCTTTTTCATTTGGCCTGGTGTATGCTAGGCAGGTGCTTTAACACTGTACTTGTATACCCTGTCCACCTTTCAAATTAATTTTGAGACAGTGTCTCATGTACCAAGTGACCCAGACTGGGTTTCACTTCATTCTGTAGCCCAAGCAGGTCTTGAACTTGCAATTGATCCTTGAGACTCAGTTTCTCAAGTAGGTAGGATAAGAGGCCTAAGCCACTGTGTAACACAAGTCTTAATAATTGGCCTTAATAATAAAAGCTCTGAGTCAGATATAGAAGAAAATGCTGAGAGATCAGAGAATCAAAGGATCAAAATCGTAGCCACCTTGCCTATTCAACTTCCCTGTCAAAAAGAGAGAGCTCCTGTCTGTTCCTGCCTTACTACTTCCTCTCTCCACCCAGCCATATCACTTCCTGTCTGTCTGTACAGATCTCCAGTTTTTTGGTTAACTAACGGCAAGCTCCACCTTCTGATCTTTATTTGTACAAACAAGATATCACATTTCCCCTTTTTTTATCTAAAATAAGAAGGAAGGTTATAAATATAAGAAAAACTATATATAATAAGCACAATAACTTTATATAATATACAGGCAATAAATACATCAACAATGTCTAGTACATTAACAATTGGCAAATTCAGAGAAAACACTCCATATTTATCATATCATGGTGAGTCCAAAAATTTGTGCTTAATTCACTTCCTATTTTAACTTGTATTGCCAAAACTATCTTTTTATGTCTTTCAACCTTATACACTTTACATTTCTTAATGAATTTCTTTTAGCCACTGAGCCATCTCTCCAGCTCCCAGTGATTTTCTTTTCTGCATCCATCTTCAGCCTACAGGCTTAGCATATCTAACAGACTTTTCTGTGAAGCAGGATGTTATGAAGGGCTGACCTACCTTGTCTTGGTAAAGTTTGGCAGTCCTTTCTTTTGTGTCCTGCTTGTCCAGTTTGGACAGCATACTGCCAGCAGTTGAGGGAAGAGCACTTTCTTGCTCAGTGGCTAACCTTTGCCACAAAGAAGGTAAACTCCATGTGGAGTTTCTTCAATGCCCATCATCTTCTCTGAAATAGATTGGTGCTGTCAGGAGTAGACATGTATCATTGTCATTAAAAAAAGAAAATAACCTGTTATTACACACTTTAAATGTCGTAGTCTGTAGATCTCTGAAGTGTTTGAAGATGGCTTGTCTATCTAAAATATATCTCTGTTTAACTTTGAAAACATAACTAATATGACTACAAGTGTGATTGTAATAGGTGACTAATTATTAACTTGCATTTATTTTTATCCTAAATAGTTGGTAATAGTAACTTTCAAGGGATAAAAATTTGCATTACATTGTTAAATGAGTTGCATAGGTACCATACCTTGAACAAGATTAGAAATGTATGTACAGTGTGTTCTAACAAAAAATAATATCAACTTTGTATCAGTATACAAGAAATCCAAGCCAGTTTAAAGTATTTAGTAGTTGCCTTTTTTTGTTTAAAAGTAGATTTAACAATCTACCTTATTATCCTATTTCTATATCCCCCTTGTTTTGTTTTCAGAGTAGATTCAATAATCTACCTTATATCTTATCATATCTATATCTCCCTTTTCTCTTTTCAAAACATCTCTGAATCTAATCTCCTTTGTTCAACTTTCTTCCTGACCATAACCAATAACAGCTTGTCATTGTGTTCTTAAATTTACTTCCTGCTACATGGGGGTGATGACATCTTTAAGGGATCCTGAAAAGAAAATTTTGGATTAATTGTCAAGTCCTGGAGAGGTAGCTGTGTCATTTGTTATCCAGCCTTTGCATAATGGTAAAGTACAGGGCTTGTCTCAAGTACTGTCTAGAGTAGTCTGGGGGGGCTGGATCATCTCAGCTACCCTGAGCAGTTTGTAGTCCAAAGCCTATCTTTAGGTGATGTTTTCCAGCTTAGTAGTATTGTCACAATCCTGGAGGAATCATTGATGTGAGTAGGGCTCCATTATTTGGAGAGTCAAAGGTTGCCATTAGGCATAGTCATGGTTCACTGCAGAAGATTTAAACATTTTAAATGTCATATGTAACAGAGGGTAAAAGGTCAATATTTGTTATGTACATTCAGAATACAAAAACTTAATTCCTAGTGATTCTAATCCAAAATCATGTACAGGAAGCTATGAAGCCTTTTCCTAGAATTGCTTAGTACTCTATATGACCATTCATATCATGACAAAAATTTTATGATATATATATATATATCATAAAATTTGAGACAATATTTATGCCTTAAGAAAAGCTTCAAAGGCTCAAAATAAAATAGCACCAAATGATTATGAGATTGGTGGAAATAAAATAGTCCTTTAATTTTTGTTTTCCTTCTGTCCCATGAGCAAAGATTTTGGATTTTACTTTAACAAGCATACTTACTTGGGTTTAGAGACGGACAGAGGCACACTCTGACTCCAAAGCCAGTTTTAATTTTTAATTGAACTGGAACTACAAAAAGACCATTTATGTTATATGTCTGTAGAGAAAAGCAGAAACAAACATTTGGGAACATTTATGAAATTTTTCCTGTTGGAGATGTGATATACTAATAGGCCAATTCACTCTTTTTCTTGGAACATTTTTTTTTCTGGATGATTTTGTTGTTCTTCGGATGTTCCTTTGTTCAGTGGTCTTCAGAATCCTTA